TGGAACAACACCAATCTTTCCATGGCTGCCAACATTTTTTTACTAGAACAAGTTTTACTTGACGACGAAAACGTGATGAGAATATTATAAAAATATAAAAGTTGGTCTAAAATAAAGAAAAATCTTACAACTTTGAATTAGAAAAGAAGATTTATTTACAACAGAATTCATAATGTTGATAGAAGAAAAAATTGCTTGAATTAACCGGCTAATTGCATAGTCCTTAGGTACACTTTGTGATGTAGGAAAATTAACCGCATAAATACGATAAATATTATAAGGTAATACCAAACAAACGAAAGCTATTACACGCGTAAGAACCATTGCTGTTATTTGTTTGTCTAATTTTCGACGAACCATTGGTAATTGTCGTCGGACTATATGACGAACATTATAATAAGCTAAGATACTAAATGATGATGCAATTACTATAGGTAGAAAACCAACTAAAATTGGATATAAGAAAAATGTTGAATACTGAATCCATGTATAATCCGATACGATACATCCAAATTTTGGTTGAATATTATAAGAAAAGCCAAATACAATGCTATGAATGATTGCAAAACAAATGAATATCAACACAAAATATCGGCCTAGTTTCAATGTACACATTTGTCTTAAATTGTAACGATAATTTGTTGAAAAGAATTGATCAACAGCAGAAAAACATATCATATAAAAAGTAGTGAGAGCACATATTTGTGACAATATAGATCTGAGTTTACACCAAATGAAAGAACGTCCTGTTGCATCATCTCCATATATTGATGTTAAAATAGTTAAACTAATAGATAAAAACTGATAAATGAAGTTAGAAATTGATTCAATAGTCATATAGAAGATGCATCGATTAGTTCGAAATAATTTCAATTGAGTAAAAACGAAAATGTTCAACGCATTACCAATAATTCCAAAAATAAATGCAATAAAACCAGTATAAATCGAGTATTGTGTAGCAAATTTAAGAATTCCATCAGATACCGATGATGATGACATGTTACTTTATTTTAAATCTATTTTAAATGACATGTTCTTTATTATTTCTGTTTTTCTTCTTTTCCTGGAAGATATAAAATTTAATATAAAAGAAAATGTTAATCTATTCTTATCATTTATAGAGGATCTTAACAGAAATTACTGTCACGATTGATAATAAAAGTCTTTAATTACTAGTATGACAATATTTCTTTTTGTGTACTCAAAAAGCGAGTACACTACTAGAATCGGTCAGTGTGTCCGTCCGTCCGTTTACACGATAACTTTCGAAAGGAGAGGTAGATTTTGATGAAAATTTCTACACAATTCAGTCTCATCAAGATCTTGATCGAGTTCAGCCTAATTGAACGAGCCATTCTCGAATTATTGCAAAAATACTGATATTTCTCCATGATTTCCATATACACTTTTTGCAGTATACATAACTCTCGGATAAAATCCGAGGTTTCCACATTTATTTTTATATAAAATATGTTGTATCTATTGAATGATATATTAATTTTGAATATAGAATATAAAATATAAATTTAATAAAAAAATACTTGAATTTCTCATTAGAGCTTTCATAACTCGTATAAAAGAAAAAAGAATGATGTTTTATCTCTGCACTACCTACACATAAATAATAAAAAGAGAGTTTATGTTAATCTCTCAGGTCAAAAAAACATGTCATTAAAATATTTAATTAAACAACAATGTATTTATAGAACACATATTCTAATTCATTTGTGCAATATATTGCTAGTAGTCTTTTAGGATATTAAATTTCATTTTCTCCAAAATAGAGATTGCAGTTAATAAAGATGTTGAATTTACGTGTAGTAAGAGATAAACAAAATATTATTTTATTAAAACTAATTAGAAAAAGAAGTGAAAAATCATGTTATGAATTAAATAACCTAACTTTGAAAAGATTACATCATATTGAAATGAAGTATACATTCAATGAACTTCGTATTCAAATATATTCTATTTTGAACGAGAAAACCATCTTGAGGGCGTATTTGTTATAATCTTTGCTCGACTATATCATCTTCAACATCCACACCCACACCCACACCCACACCCTTTTAAATTGAACTACAATCGTGGTATTTTTATGGAATTTTGAATTAGAAAAAATACGACACTTTTTTCATTTTCTTTTATTGATTAGTAGCTTGTAACAATTGATAAATCTCTAAAAACACAAAATGACAAAGTATAGAAATGTGAATGAATTGATCTATTTATTTTATTTTTTTTTGAAAAAATGAAATTGATGAATTACAAAATTGAGGAGAAGAATATTTATTACATAAAATAGTTGAATGTTTAAAATCTTTTGCTAAACTTTGACATAATAATGTTCGAGAACATTGTATTGAATCTGAACTAATAATATGAATTCCATAGTGTTTAGTTAATTGATAGGTTTGAAAAATATTTTTATTTCCATATGCAAGTAAAAGACGAATTAAAAAACCATTTTGATGACTGTCAATTAAAATTTGTTTATCCTTAATTGAATTTGATATAGTTATGATGGATGAATACGGAAGATTTTGATTTTTTTGAGAAATAAAAAAGAAATTCCTAATTGAAGAACATTGATAATATAAATCTACAACGATATTGTGAACATCATCAAGAAAAACCGGTATTAATTTTCCTAAACTAGTTGAAATAGGTGGCCAACCATAATTTCTATAGATAAAATCTCCTTGAATTTGTTTTTGTTTTTGTTTTTTTAACGCTATTTTAATTGATTTTTGATTTCCTTGAATTTGTTTCGGAAGAATCAATGTTTGATATGAAAATATTTCTAAAATTTCTTTTTTTATTTGTTGAAAATGTTGACATTTAACACCACCTGTTAATCCAGTAAAAATATCTTCATAAAACATTTGTTTAATTTCAATAAATAAATAAATTGGATAATGATATTTATATTTCGATGTAAATTCTTTTATTTTCATTAAACAATGTTTAAAACAATAACAATTTGTTTTATCATCAAATATTTGTAAATGATAAATAAGATTATTATTTTTCATTAAATGAATATCTAATTCAATTTGTCGAATACCAAATAATAATTGTTTTGTTAATGATTTATGAGAATATTTATAAAAAAAATTTTCTAAATGATAACTATTATGTGTACCAAGGATTGTATAATCATTTAATTTTAAACGTTTATCAATTTTGGATACATTTAATATTTGATTGTCATTCGAATTTAATTTAATCATTTTTAATTTTGAACATTCATCATTTTTATACATTACTTTGATCATTAATATCCATAGAAGAAACATTAAAGAAATTATTAAGAAGAAATATACCAACAATTTTAGAATTAAGTTTAACATTCTCTAGTAATCTCCATGAATTCTTTTTTTATATAAAAAAATACATCTTACTATTAATGGTGATTTTAACAATTTCATTTTTTATAAAAACTAATACTTAAAAATTATTCATAGGTTTTTTTTGTCGTTTTGTTCTTCGTTACATTTTACATTTTTGACAAATAAAAAACCTTGTACTTTTTTTTTCTTTGTCGCTTTTTTTCATTGAAATCAAAACAATATTTTCATTAAATAAAAGTAATGAATATGAAATTCATTGAAAGATTAAACCGTAAAAATGTTCAATATGTATATCATTAATTCAATTGGTAAAATATATTGGATTTATTTTAGAAATATCGTTTCAACAATATTTTAATTAAATCAATATGAAATTTATAATGAACATTAATAATGCTTAATATATTGGAGAGTTTTGGTTGATAAAAAAGAACAATATTATCAAGAAAAAGTTTAGAATTCGTTTTAAAAATCGAAATCTTTATCAAGTTTCGCACTATGTACGAAACTATTTTTAAGTTTCGTATTTTACACAAAATCCTCTGTGATTTGTTAATCATACCATTTTTTTTGATGTACGTACGGTCTCATTTTCTTTATTAAGATATTGTCACTGTAATTCATAATGAATAGAATCATATGCAATATTGACTTGTAGATTTTCTTACGTCATTATAGATTCTAACTATTGTTCAAGTACACACAGCATCGCTTCCAACTGTCAAATCTAAAATAAAGATGGGAGTCGGTTCAAATATAGTCTATGTTATACCCTCATCCACAACCTCAAGATTATGCAGCAAAAATTTTCGATTCGCTCGTAACTTTTAGCTACCTATTTGTACTCAGAAGGACGCACGTTTATATTTTTCTTTCTCTTTCTACATATATGTATTTATCAGTCGCACCTATACACATTAATTGACGTGCGCAATTCAAGTTTGGTGTGTATCCGCTGTGTATACATGCATACGCCATTTTATTTATATAAATGGATTAGTGTGCACATGTGAGATGAGTGTGTATAATATTAAAAAAGTACATTTTTTCTTTCATAAATTACAGTCCTTGAGAATAAACGCATTATATATATAACGTCATATTATTGTGTCTAATTTTTTAAACTACTATTATTATTTCTTCTTGTCTTTTTCTACTTGTTGCTGTTAATATACTATGCCATTTTGTATGATGGATCTCCGGTCATACTTATTACTTCTATCCAATTCCTCGTAACGTTTATTGACTAATGGTTCATGCACTATTAATGGTTTATTAAATACTCAAAATGAGCAGTTTGAAAGAGGTGTGAGTGCAGATGAAATATCATGTTCACAGGAAAACTCATGCCCATCCTTATGCCTTCAAGACTAAATAGTAGATTTTCACGATCAACAGCACACGCTCTATCGAATGATACAAAGCAAATGCGATAAAAAAATACTTACTCAAAGTTTGACTTGCCTGTACCTTATACCTAATTCGTTTATGAAAACAATTAATTAAGTTTTTAAGACTTTGATATTGTTTGATCAAAATTGACATCAAGTTTTCCTTAGAAGCAACTGTCTTAGAATTAGCTAAAAATTTGTGATCCATACATATAGAATATTGAGTGATATATATCTAATGTGAGCTTTATTTCAGATGTCGAAATCTATATATACTGATATATTACAAACATTATCCTTGCTCAGTATATTTATAATTGCTGTTTCGACACAAACATTATCAGTCACCGTGTCGAATGGAACTATATTCGGATCCTATTGCTCTTCTCCATTTGCTAACGTAGTGGCTTATCTAGGCATTCCGTTCGCTCAACCTCCAGTTGGAACTCTTCGATGGAATGCTCCTATTTCATACAATTCAACATATCCAAATGGTACACTTAATGCTACAACGTTCTCACCTAGTTGCTATCAATTCGGTTCTTTTTCTACTGAACCTCTCCCTTATTCTGAGGACTGGTGGGTGAGATATGTTTACGCAATAAGGTTTATATTATATTCTTTATAGTCTGTATCTTAATGTGTGGGCTCCAGCTAATGCAACTAAGAACTCTTCACTTCCAGTGAAAGTTTGGATTTATGGTGGAGGTGGTTATATAGGCTCGAGCTCTGATCCTCTATATAATGGATGTGCAATAGCTACAAACGCAATCGTCGTTTCAATGAATTATAGACTTGGTCCTCTCGGTTGGCTCACTTTGGGTGCACCATTAAATTTTACAGGTAACTACGGTGTTCTTGATGTTCTCATGGCATTGCAATGGATTCAAGAAAATATCGCTTCATTTGGTGGCAATAATGTATGAATAATTTCATCAAATTTAACTAGAGGTTATATAGGGCAATAGTAAAATTAGCAAAGACTTCAGCAGTTCGTTGCATTATTAAGAAATAGTCTAACACTATTTTACGATGAAACGTGAGATATTTAGAGAATCGATCAAGACTCAGCTTTTCATTACATCAGCTGTTTAATGGAAGTGACGTTTGAGTTTTCTTCGAATAAAGTTGCAAAGTTTAATTTGAAGTTGATCGGATGTAAAATTACATAAATTCTCTTCAAACAGCTAACTTATTAAAATACACGATGTCAGTATTCGAGATAAGTTTCACTTGTCCATACAAAAAATATCGTCTTTATAATGTTATGTTGTAGACGATTTGAAAGCAAAAAAATTTCTTGTAAAATATCAGGATTCAAAATATATAAGAATCTTCAAAGATTTTCTAAGTTTTGTTTGCTGAGTCATTAAATAATGTCTCGAGTCTTCTATTTCACGAAGGACAAGGAAGTTTTTTTAATATTTATAACATAGAAAACTGTCCTCCTCTTTGGTCAATCAACGGGTGGAATCATTGCTCATGTTATCAGCACTCTTCCTCAAGCTAATGATCTTTGTTCAAGCGTCATTTCGGAGTCAGGCGCCGGAAGACCTCTGGCAACGAGTGAGCAACAGATTGCAAATGGTAATGCACTCATTGAAGCACTTGGCTGTTCCAATTCAAGTGATGTAAGTCTCTTTAATTTTTCGTGTTACAGAGATTAAGTAAGAATTAGGTGGCGGGATGTCTTCGTATAAAATCACCTGATCAAATCAGTCAAGCAACACCCAACTATCTTCCTATGTTTCTGTACCTACCCACTCAATTCTATGCTCATGTAGATGGAAATATAATACCAGTTCAACCAATCGCCACCTCGCCAAAAGTTCCATTCATGGCGGGAACATGTAAGTTTCCACAGCACTTTCACCCAAGCTCTTTAATTTTGTTTCTATAAAAACATGACTTATCTTAGATTTTGTCTAAATATAGAGATAAAAATTAAAATAAAAGTGATTCGAGCGCTGACGACTAAATTTATACTTAGGATAATATGAATAGATATTTCTAGGAATTTTATATCAAAAGTGCCCTCAATTTAAATAGGCTCCATGGAAGGCGTTTTGTTCGCCGTTTCATCATTTTCCAATCCACTTACTGTCACTTCCGTTGACTACAATAACTACTTAAATATTACCTTCGGCGCTGCCTTTGCTTACAACATTTCAGCTCTCTATCCCATCTCAATGTTCAATTCAACCGTAGCACCTGCTATGTACGCTATAGCTGCCGTCATTACCGATGCCGAATATGCATGTCCAGCACGTCGTGCTCTTAAAACGTCGTTAACCAGTCAACTTGGCACGTACGCTTACTTGTGGAATCATGTTCCAAGTTGTCCATGGGAATCGTCAATACCATCTGGTCTGCTCTCCGTTTTAGGTGCTACACACACCAGTGAACTCGCATTCGTCTTTGGAGTAACGTCAAACTTACCACGACCCAATGGAACATGTGTGTTGCCAACAAGTGAACAAATGCTCAGCACAGAGATAGTGACTGCCTGGCAGAGTATGTCGAAAAATGGCTATTCAACATTAGCCAATGGGAGCAAGTGGCTAGATTGGAGTCAAGGAGGACAAGGTGTTAGATTCGATGGAAACCTTACGTTTAGTATAATCAATATGACACAATGTGACTTTTGGGATGTGATCCAAACGGTCACTACAACTGCTGCTACTACAAATAATACAACTCTGATGACAACGAATCTTATTACTGTCGCTACTACAAGCACTACAGGTGCAGCTACATCTTATGTCAGTAGCACAGCTGGATTTGTTCTGGCAACATTCGTTGTACTTATACATATGTGATATAGAATCACATCTTAACAGCGTGATTACGAAATCATTTATGACAATTCAATTTTTTTATAAAGACATTTAAGCTTTTTTTGTAAAATGTCTCGTTGCAAAGGTTATACATGTGCTTAATGCTTAATATTATAATTAACAATTGTAATCTCTTTTCTCGGGAGTGGGTGGGTGTGGGTATGATTGACGGAAGTATACAAGGCCCACACGCACACCCACACCTACATCAAACATTTTTTCCTCTACTTTCAAGGAGAAAACCTATAATTTATCGAAGATATGGTTCAGTAGAAGTCAAATGATTATTCTAAATAGTTTTACAAAACAAGTAAACTAAATTTCACATACTTCTTTAACAATATCTCGAATAATTGTTAAATAGATTTCTTTATATATTTCATTGACGATATCATGTGATAAATATTTTTTGTTATCAATCCAATCTTTCAAACAATCTTGGTCAATACTTCGAAGTTTTACTAGTTGAATCAAATTACAGTTTTCATCCGACTGACCACGTAGAGCAAGTCCTTGGCGAAGTAAATACATAATAGATGAGATTT